GGCGAGTTGAAGGGATGATGGAATCTTGAAGATTTTCCGAGCTAGGGAGTATTTTGGGCATCTTGTTACGATGTGTTCGATCGATAAAGTCACGTTGCATATGGTGCATACTAGGGTATGATATTATTATAAGTATAACTATGGGTATTACTAGTGACTTAAAAATTACAATGCTTTTATCATAAATCGATATCGTTTTAAGTATAAGAATATATTGAAGGAAGGACACAGGTAGACATAATAATATTATTGTTGCAGACTGTGGTGCTGCCACAACTTAACGAAACGCACTGTTACAGCGGCGGCGGCGAACGAAAAGCGGCCCAACATTATATTATTATCATTTACATGTGCACAACATATTATATATATATGTATGTATGTATGTATATGTAATATTATTGCGATTTATGTCATTATATTAGTTCGACCTTCGGTCGCGATACGAACAATAGCCGCGTAATAACGATGCCAAACATCCTGGTTAGGGCTGAACGGTTCTATTCAAGAGTGCGCGTATATATAGGTATATATATATCCGTCGACACTGCGTGAATATATAGGTTAGGCCGTTTTAACCGGAGCCAAACGGGCTGTGTGCGACCTTATATACGGCGGCAGTGTTGCTCTTCACGTTATGTCATGATATATTTACACTTGTATACAATGTACATACACACATATATATATATATATATATATACTTTATGTATAAGTACCTACAATTATATTATATATGAATGCGTTTACCTTTATGTTTTCGTGTGCGATGTGTACGCCTGCGCGCTTATATAATATATATATATATTACAATGTGCCTTGTACAATATCAATTTTCTGCAAATAATAATGTACACGCTATATATACTATAGCTGTATGTGTACAATATTATATATCATTGTAATTTGTAGTATACATACGCGTGTGTGCGTGCGCACGTATATATCTATATTGTGCCCAGTAGTAGTTGGATGTTAATTAGTTGTTAGGTCGGCCCGTTCGGACTGCGGATATTACTCAGTATAAGGTAAACGCGGCGAGTAACTGTGCGCAACGTTGCGAACAAAATATTTTGTGCAAATCTGCAGAGTTCCTATTCGTGCAATATAGTAAAATATAAAAAGTGTCTCTATGAAATATGTAATTTTTATTATAGTATATATATATATATATATATATAGGTAACGTGCGCGAATTACAGTGGTGGCGTAAAACTCTGCATAATAGGTATATTATGATGGAAAATATTATAAATACAATACTTGTCATGCTGTGACGTACGTGGGCGAACCATTTCAGACGATGCAGTACAGCTGCTGCACTAGTCGAAAAATCGTGTATTGATCGTGACCTGTTACGCTTGAATTTCGGTAAATATATTATTAATGCCCAATAATATGCATAATATACGAAAACTGTTTATCTAAAATAACTTAATAAATATATAAAATACAACGTGTAAGTGGTGTAATGTATTTGACATATTATTATATATTATTTACGTATACAATTATTGTAGTACTAAATAAATTTATAAAATGGTTGTCACTTGTCAGATGTATAATATTATTATGATATTTATTCAGCAATGTAAGTGTAGGTTGTAGGTTATTATATTATATAATTGTTATATTTGTAATAAGTATAGATACCGCATAAAGCTTTCTATCCGAAAGCGGCGCCAAGCTCTTGGAATAATAAAATAATCATCCGATTGTTCCATGATGACGACCTTTGCACACACGCACACGAGTACACACACAATCGGTCATATTATTACCTATGTTTCTAGGTCAACGAGTTATAAGCCGTTCTGCTGACATTTTCACCACCGCACCATATAGTATAGTATGGCGTTTATATGCCTATTAAGTTACCTAAACCTTGAAGCATTATTAGGCTATTTAATGCTATATTATAGAACTGCAGTTATACTATAATTATAGTGATGTTTCTGGCTTCTGCGATAAAACATTTTTGCTTGGGTACTTATCGATATGATTACGAACAGAGCTAAATTTACCAGGCTTAATATAATATATCTTATGATATTATGTAAGTATGGATAACGACTGAATACTGTGCGCACGATCGTCGCGATCGCAATGCGTCTGCGAGAGGAATAATGGTAATAATTATTGTGTTCCAATCGACGTCGATGACTTTATAACATTATATTTATTTGTGTAGCCTTTGGCCTCTATAGATATCAATGTATATACATTTATGTTCGCAAAAAAATATAATTAAAATTTATCTCAACGATTTATAAGTATAAATTTATTGCAGTTTTAACCACAGCGAATATATAATGCATGTTAAGGATTAGAATATAATAAACATGGCATGACGTATGACATAGGTCATAAAAATTTTACACTGTGATATTTGAGCTTTTGTATCATTTAATTAAAAATATGTTAATTTTAATTTGTAACAAGCTTTAAGTCAATCGCGCGTACCGCACGCGTGACATGATTGTTGTAATATAAATGACTACACGTAGGTGGCAGAGGTAAATTTATAATATCATAATTCATAATACCTATTATATTTCATTTAAACATGTAACAATCATTTTTCCAACGATTTTTCTCTATTTTCCAAGGTATAATTGATACAACATTATATACAAAAAAAAAATGTACCTACATAAATAAAAAATATTTAAAACAAAATTGCAATAAGTACTTAGATTTTAGATTTGCAATTATTTAAATATGCATTAATCGTCTCTGCCAACTGCAAGAAACATATAAACCATACTATATATGAATAATATATGACATTGTATTTTCATGTATCGTAACGTGTAGAAAGGATAACGCATATCGGTAACTTTTTACACATATAGGCATAAATGGTATAACATATATATGCGTAGTCTTTGCATATTTAGATATTTAGACAAGATTTTGGCGTCATTTTATGATGTATATAATATACCCACTAAACACCGATTACTGAGGTTTTATTTAGAAACTAAAAATCTAAAAATTAAAAGTAAATTTTATGAACTCTAAATATCAGTAGTATATGGAGGTTACCATTTAGTTGTAGCAACAAAAATGACCAGCCATGATTTAAAGTGTAAATATAATAATATTAAGTACCTATAGGCGGGACTTGATATTATGTCTGATGTGCGTCACACAGTCACACGTCGTAAACTTAAGTCTTTCACATTATTTCATGCAATATCATAAATCGATTGACATTAACAAAATTTTTAAATATTATTTTTCAGAAATCGCGTCAAGATGCATATCGAGGTTAGCGTAGCGTTGAACTTTGTGATCTCGTACCTGTACAACAAATTACCCAGACGACGAGTGAATATATTCGGCGAAGAGCTGGAAAAATGTCTGACTGAGAAATTCGCTGGACACTGGTACCCGGAGAAACCGTACCGCGGCTCGGCGTACCGGTGCATCAAAACGGGATCTCCGATCGACCCGGTGTTCGAGAAGGCGTCCCGCGAGAGCGGCGTGGCCATACAGGACATCCTGGAGAACTTGCCACAGGATCTGGCCGTGTGGGTGGACCCCGGCGAAGTCAGTTACCGCATCGGCGAGAAGGGTGCCGTGAAGATCTTGTACAACGAGAACAGCGGTGGCCTACAGTTCGACACACACGACGACCGGACCGCCGACCGAGAGGTAATAATGCGCGTTCAAATTGTTTTTATTTGTTTTTATTTAGGACAAATTACAACAAAAAAAGTAAATCAAAACCTATTTCTATAGATTTTGTGGGGGATTTGTGTAGAACTATTATTTCTCTCCCGCTTGTTATATTATCGAACTCGTAAGCTCGTATAATAAGAATTTTTTTTTAACTTATCGAATCATTTGATAAAGTGAGTATTGCGTATTAAGTCGAGACGCGAGATATAGAGTGGCGAGTACAACAATCACACAGCATATTATAACGTGACCATATCAAAATGCAGTTTACCTACAACATCTGACACACACTTGCACTTTATTGCAGTGATGACATTGCGCCAAAATGCTCTGTTTGTGTATCGCCGCGCCGCCAGCGAACGAATCGACGAAAAAGCACGACAATACCTATATATGTATATAAACATTGTGTATACATATATATACATAGTAATGTATATATTATACTGTAGTGGCACGATAATGACGTTATATATACTGATGATTATCACTGATCATCTGCAGTATATAATGCGCACTATATAATTATGCATTATTGCARGTATACAGCACGCGTTACTCGATAATTTTAACGTTTTCCTCAGATTTTCCWATCTTAACCCGAATGTCCACATTTATACTTTGGTGATATATATATAAGTAGATACAATAAATAACATTATCTATACTCGCATCCGGCGTCCGAAATCACATAATATTCCTTCAATTCTATACATGGATTCTGTGAATAACAATATAATATGTTATAATTTATGCATCCTGTATACCTTGACGCACTCATCTCCTGACGCSTAAACTTCGGAAAACGGGTGGTACCAGTCTTTGATCAGGAGTTTATCAACACTTTCGTTTTGTCCACTTCAATGATGCCATGAGGAGTGCAATAATATATTACGCAACGTGATTACAACAACGCAAAAACGGTTTAACTTAACCACGGGTATATAACTCGTCGAGATTTTTGGCCGGAATTTCGTCACACCGCACAACGTTATATATGCATAAATATATGTGTTATGTATATATATATATATATATATGCGCTCTCGTGGACACCAAGACCGCGAATATAATCGTAACGCGAAAACGGTACGATAGAGGACGGATAGGGAGACAACGTCCGCCACAACATTTTCGTATAAGATTATAACCGACGGAAAATATCGTGGTTATACGAATTCCCGCCCATTAACCACGAGTATACCGTAAACAATTTTTTATGCGGTCGCCTATAAGCCACGCGATGACAACCGCGGACGGACTTGTCTAAACACCGCGACCATTATTTATAAGGCCGCTATAGAAATAATTTATTTTTAAATTTGGGTGGTACAAAAGGACTATTAAACATTTTTGGTTTCACCTCTTTCGGTAAACAATGTATAGTTTTTATAATGTTTAATAGTGTCGTTGTCTCCAACAACGAGCATGATGATTGATTGTACATTAACTTTTTTAAATACTGCAGCTGTGGTAGGGCGGTGAAACGCGCGGGCGATTTTAGTATATGATTTTATAAACGTAATACTATAAGTATAATAGAAATATATTGATTTMTATTAGTGTACTATACTCAAMATTTYATTCAAAAATAAGACTTGGCCACACGGTCGTATATATATATTAAAATACATATTATAGCGGTCACGGTTCCACTGCAATACAATAAGGATTTGCATTAGAATACTGTCTGGACGGGAAAAAAAATTCGTTCCTCGAGAGAATAAGCTACAGAGTGATGGTWAAGACTGAATATTAAATTAATTATTTTTATAKAATGGAAAATTAAAGTCTATAGGGGATTCAGCCGTCGGAATTATCGTAACGCATATCATATTTCGTCGTACGTTGTTATAATAAACGAAAGTTTGAATAAAGTGTTCAAGTGTAGTGTATACGTGTCGTATATAATTATACTAGACATATGCGTGCAGACGAACAATACGACAAAAGCTAAAACATTTAATCCCTTCGGAGCTCGAACATATACAGGGTGATTTAGTTTTAAGCGTAATCCACTTATTTTCTCGTTCAACTTTTTGGTTTTGAATTTTATCGTAATATTATATTTTATATAAGTTGAAGTACCTATCTATACGTATTATTACACTACATTTTTACAAAAAAAACTAATATGTATATTTAAATTTTTTTTGTGATAAAAATTGTTTAATACCAAAAGTACCTATATCTATTTAGGCAAAAATTGAAAAAAAAAACAATAGCGTATCCAAGGAAATCACACTATAGATAATTTATGATAGACTCAAGTCTTCTACATATATATTATATATATATATCGTTTGGGTCACGCTTTTAAGTTAAAGCTATACACAAACTCGATTTTATTAAAATTGCACGTAAATATTAATCCATAGAATAGATAATCTGCATATATGCGAGTCTGTGTTTTGTAGACTACGAATAATTATACTATTATTATTCGGTTGCAGTATACTATGTTTTTTTTAACTTGTCTAACGATTTGTGTTTATATGTTTTGCAGGTCATCAAAACCTTCAACCCCGAAGCGCAGTGTTTCCGGCCTATCGATTCAGTAGCGTCCAGCTTGAGTTCTCTGAGCATTTCGCCACCGGACAAGTGTTCGGTCGGTTCGCCAACGCTYGGCAGCGGTTCCAACAACTCGTCACCGACGCATCATAACCAYCTCCATCACCACCACCAACAACTACAACAACAACACCATCCTCACCAACAGCAACAACAATTAATACAGCTACAACAGTCACAGCACAACCAGCTGTTGTTCGGCAAGCCGTGTGGCGGAAGCAGCAGCAGCAGCAGTAGCAGCAGCAGTAGCAGCAGCAGCAGTAGCAGCAGCAGCAGCACTGCAAGCAACGGCAACAGTCAGCAATCGCCGCAGCAACAGCAGCAACAGCAGCCGCGGAGCCCGAACGGTGCAGGTCCTGCGGTCGCGGCTGGCGCTTACGTGCCGTGCCGACAGCCATCGGTTCCGTTGACGTTTACAACCGCCTCGTTCGCGCAGACCAAGTTCGGCAGCACCAAACTCAAGTCCAACAACAAGCGAGCTAACAGGTTTCTGATGACTGATGTTATGGAAAAGTAGGCGAACACGTACCTACAGTTTTGACCATGACGATGCGTTATATGTGCCGTAATATTGAACTCTCGCGTTGGTGATGCGGTGATTGATGAATGATAATGGTAGTTGGGTAGGTCGTAGGTGGGCGGTTCGATTACTGCACAACTTACTGTGCCGTGAGAAAAATATCCCGCAGACAGTGGCTTCTACGGTTTTTCATTTTAGTTTTGGCCAAAATTAGAGCTAGGATTTCGTTCATGGCCATCTTCAATTCCGGCCATTCCGGAGAATTTTACTAGGATAATTTTTTAGAGTTTTTGGGTCATAAATTAATTTTTTTTAATCTGAAATCTATTGATGATAATATTTTAAAATAAAAAAACAAGRTTCCTCATACATTTTTGTTATAGGTAACGATTCAGAAATATCGAAAATACATATAAAGAGCATTAATTATTATATAAGGATTTTAAGTTTACATTTTGACGAAATTGGATATTTCTTAGATCGTTATTGGTTTGTTGCGAAACGAAAAATATTAACCTTTAAAACTGTAAACATTCCACAATTAGGTGCCATACATATATAATTTGTATTATTATTATRAGATCAGTTCCACTAAATTCGTTAGGAAAATTTAATTTTCGAYTATAATATATACKTTCAGATTTTTACTTCTCGATAAAATAATATCTGCCTATACAATTACACAAGTTAAAAATCATGTTTTAACTCATCCCGTGTTATTACCTATAGAGTTTAATGAAATGGACTGGTTCAACTATTATTATTTCAATAATAATAATTGGCGTGCCCTCTACTGTAGAGACTGTARATTTTATACTGTTAAATTGTTTATCAAGACTTAAAGTATTTTGGTTAAAAATATGCTAGGGACCCGGGCAGCGATCGCTGTCTAGCTGCCATGACCATACCGACACCACACATAGTATGTATACGACAAACGACACTAGATTTCACGTGATTTTATAATACTTACTTAGTTATATGGCTTTATGCGCATAGGCATGCGCAGATTTCATTATGTAATACAAACAAAATTACAAGTTCAGTAACCCCTACCCAAGATAATGGAACTTATTATACCCACTACTAGATATTTTAGATTGAATTTTGGAGTAATAATTGTTGATTTGCGTTTCTGTAGCAATAAACAAAGGGTTACGCAAATCCGGTATAAAAAAATAAGTTGTATCCAGGCCAAAAACATTAAACTGTTAAAATTGGACCACGATGCAGTAACAAAATCACATAATTATTAATAACATGTCACAATAATATAAAATKTCTTATAAAATTGTAACTATTTATAAMATTTTTGACTCGTCTTTAAGTATAACTTCTTAAACGCATACTTCCGAGGTAAATTTACGYGAATACTTAATTTCAAATTTATCAATAGGTATTGATCATTATTAAAAAAAATAATAAAATTCATCTTCGATGTTATCGATTGTTATTCKAGGTTATAAAGACGAGCCCYTTCGCTGATTTCGGAGTATGCATATGATGCTATACCCTGAATGTGTACCCAGTGCGCACGCCTGAAATGCCGCCTATGTGTTTGCCCGTTTGAAACATTCTGTATATACACGCACCTGTTGCGTGTAATTAATTGTACGCGTATTGGTCGACCCGGGCACGTGAATTATCGCGGCGTGATGCATACACATACCTTTTTACTCTACTCCCCTCTAGCTCGTTATCACTCTACATCTCTCTCTTTTTCTCCTTTTGCATAGAGGTCACTCCGCCCGTCCGTATTGCGAAACGACGTCATTGCGTGGTGKCGGGCCTTTTCTACAGATAATAATATCATAAATATATGCCTACATGCAGATACCTATGTATGTGTGTATGCTATAATATATTTTWTGTTTACTTACGAACGAGGCTATGCGCCTGCAAAAGTTTTTTAACGAATGGCGCCAATATTTGCCAATATATTAAACGCRCCCATCTAATTGTGACAGGTGCCCCACAAAAGCTTGCGAATAATAATTCGATGTTTTTTCGGTTATAGAATTGTCAACTGCACCTAAAAAGTAATACACACGGGCTTATAATAATGTGTCATCTATGTGCAACGTGAACGTAATTCARATCTGGGTCATAAAAATTATACTTTTATTATTATTATTTATGTAAACTGGGTAAAATTAACCACAGCCTTCAAAAATGATTAAAGCATCCTAAAAATAAATCGTCAAATCGATTTATCCGTCGTGGCGAATACAAATAATTTTAATTCCTTTAAACCTATACACCGATACAGACGGAATCATCATGTTTTGGACTTTGGATCAATATAAACATTACCTAATTCATATTATCATCATAATATGTAAATTAAAATGAGCAATTTTTATAGGCGTAATAATCGATAATAGCAGCCATYCAAAACGCTACTTTCACTCCCTAATGAAATTCTATTGGACGACATTTTGTGGAACGAATATAAACGGTGCCTTGTCACTGTAATACTATTTAAACATTTACAACTATTAAGGTAGCAGAGCAAATTTTTCAAAAACATGGAACACAACAAGCGTTGTTTAGTTTACTTGCATTGCTATTATAGTTGCTATATACATCAAACCCACACCTATACATTTTATAAACAACTAACGGCGAGGTTAGCGATTAAATATTTAATATAAATTAAAACATGTCGTCAATCATCGTCGGTATTTTCGCGTACGTATTTTCAATTGAGAAACTCACCAGTTTTTATTATTTTACACATTAAAAGATAGAGAGAAAGAGAAAATGAGAAATTATCATATCAGGATTATCGACGAAAACTAAATCGTTTCTAACCTAACCTAACCGAATAAAAACAACAAATCATGATTTGAAACCCCTTATAATTTCACACCGGGTTCGAACGTTATTCTGCTCGTAATATCGCGCCTACGTGATGAAATTCTATTATTTTAAAGTGTTTATTATACGCACTTATATATAATATGTACCTATACGCATCATCAAGTATTGTACCTAGTAGTAACCTAACTTAACCAAAAACAATATTTTTAACAACTATATTAGTACTTGCAAGAAACCAGTGGCGGCGCGAGGTAAAATTAATATGTGGGCRAAGTAGACTTAAAGAGGCCCTTTTTTAAAAATTTTTTTAATAAACATTTAAGTAACAATAGTTATTTAATAAATATTAAGATTTACAATTTTTTAAAACAATAAACTCTAATTATTAACCTTTTATTTGSAAAGTAGTCAATATAATTTTATTTATACATAATTATAAAATTAAATACATATTTTTTTAAATTAATAATACTGTTAGAAGTTTCATTTTTTTTTATTTACAAGAAATGGACTTTTCG